CAGACAACGGTCTTTCAGACCCCAGTCTCCTACCGCCTACGGTCCTTCAGGCCTTCATCGTCTACTACGGTCCGTCCGACCTCCATCACCAGACAACGGTCTTTCAGACATCAGTCTCCTGCCGACTATGGTCTTCCCGACCTCCGTCGCCTACTATGGTCGTTCCGACCTTCATCAACAGACAACGATCTTTTTGACCCCGGTCTTCTGCCGACTACGGTCCTCCCGACCTCTGTCGCCTACTATGGTCACTCCGACCTCCATCACCAGACAACGGTCTTTCAGACCCAGTCTCCTGCCGACTACGGTCTTCCCGACCTCCGTCGCCTACTATGGTCCTTCCGACCTCTATTAATAGACAACGGTCTTTTTGACCCCGGTCTCCTGCCGACTACAGTCCTTCCGACCAAACAAACATGTATATGTAACTCCTACTATGTAATGCAATCTATATGATATACATTTGCTACATCAATCAAAGGCCTTCTCCCAAGGAAGGGCCTCATTTGTAATCGACTACAAATACTAGTGGATTCATTCAAACTGGGCTAGGCCCCGTGGTTTTTCCCCCTTTTCAGGGGTTTTCCACGTAAAAAATTCTGGTGTCTCTTATGAATGTTTCACCCCCTCTCTTATCTGTTTGTGCTGGATCTTCGTACAATGCTAAGACGTTAAACCATATATTTCTTTACCACCGCGAATATTCCAGGACGCAACAAGTATACACAATCAGGATGAAAAAACAGATTCAAACACTCTCATAATTAAACTAAATAGATTCTCAGACAACTAAACTTTTTCTTATATTTCTCCCATAAAGTTAATAACATTTCAAGCACACAATATCAAAAAACTAGAAAAAATGATTTAGTGTCATATAAGGAAGCTAATTGAACTGCACAGTCCCATTCTTATTCTCAGCTGCCATTACAAGTCCCTCAATCCTCTCCTTCAGCACCATAATCTCTTCATCTTCTTTACACCCCATAATCCTTGCCACCTCCTTCGCCTTTCTCCTCACCCCTTCTCCTTCTTCCCGCACCACCACTTCCCTTATACACCTCGCCACCTCCTCCCCCCTGAACCCACCATCCTCCTCCCTCTCCACCTTCACAGCAACTCCAAGCTCCACCATAAGCTCAGCATTCAACGGCTGGTCTAGTTGCAGCGGCATCGCTATCATCGGCACCCCCTGTCTCATCCCTTCCATCACCGAACTCCACCCGCAATGGGTAACAAAGCCCCCCACGCTCGGATGCGCCAAAATACTCTTCTGCGGAGCCCATCCCTCAATCACCAATCCTCTGTCCCACGTAAACCCCGTCGGCCGTCGTGAGTCGCCACCTTCGAATCTCACAACCCATATGGAACAGAGCCCGCACCGCTCCAGCCCAATGGCCAGCTCTACCATTTCACTCTCCGACATGAAATACTCGCTTCCGACAGAAACAAACGCAACCGAACCCTTCTTCTTTTGGCTCAGCCACTCCAGCACCTCGCCGCCATCTTATCCAACGGTTGACATGAGAGGCCCGACCGGAACCACCTCCTTCCCAATGAGTAACGAGAGGTAATCAATGTACTTCGATTCAATCTCTCTAAAAGTCCTGACAGCTACGAATTCTGTGGAGTTGTTGATGCATTGAAGGAAGCGATCGGAATCCGAGAGGCCGTTGGTTACTTTGGTGATCGTTGCTATGGAGTCAGACTTCTTCGGAATTTCAAAAAAGGGGAATTGATTGTGGGGCGGGCGGAGGAGGTGGTGGCAGAAGAAGGACGAAGCGGAGGAGGCAATAGGGAGAAAGAGGATGGAGGGGATGTGAAGTCGAGAAGCGGCGAGGGGAGCCCAAGGTTGGATAAAGTCGTAGATAAGGAGGTGGGGGGAGAGGGAGACGAGAAGGCTGGAGAAGGAAGAGGAGGATTGGTCGAAGGCGGTTTTGAGAAGGGGCATCAGATGGGAAGGCAGGTTTTTGGTGGTTTGGAGATGTGGGGGAAGGTCGTGGTGGTCGGAGGGGAGGTGGAGCTCGGTGAGGTGTATGTGGGGGAAGGAATTGGAGTCGAGATTTATGGATTTGAGGTTAACTGGTGTGGAGCAGAGGTAGATGGAGATGTTGGTGTTGGTGGATAGTTTCTTGGCGAGTTCGAGGAAGGGGGAGATGTGACCGTGTGCTAGCCATGGAAGCATGAGGATGCGGAGAGCAGGTTGCTTGGGTTGGAGGGTCTCCATTATCGGAGCTTGATGGTGATTATGATGGGCGGAGTTAGGGGTGATATAGCGGCTTCTGGTGGTGTTAAAGGCGGCTTCTACGGAGGTGGCCGCCTGGCCGCGTGGGCGTTGCTGCGTGAAGCTCAGCTGACACGTTGATTTGCAATCACCAAGTGTCTCTCCGACAATAAGGTTTGCTTATCGAGATTGGCATCTTTTTAGCTGTTTGAAAAATTTTTTCTAGTGAATTTAATTAAAAATTTATATTTACTGCTGAATGCCGTTATCAAAAATCTGAAGGAGAAATTTCTAAAATTAAAATTTGAATAATCTAAATTTCAAATTTAGCAAATTTATAGTCAAATTGAACGGTTTGATCAGACGAATTCAATGACATCAAACTTAATCAAATTCGAGCCCAAATAGGCCAAAGTCAAAGAACCGAATCATATTTATAAACTTCATATCATTAATTCAATAACCAAATAATTTTCAAATATGATATATTTATAGTTGAACCGAATGGCTTGATGATACGAATCCAACGAGCCTAAGATTATTTAATTCCTATATTATTAAGATGGTTAAATATTTGATGAAAATTTTATGATTCTTAAAGGGGTTCTTGTCTAAGGTATTGCCTAAATACTGTAAATATTGGATGAAAATTTTATGATTCTTAAAGGGGATCTTGTCTAAGGTATTGGCAACAAGTGGGATTTAATTTTAGTGGTATTTAGTAAATACTGCAAATCCGGATTTAATAAATTCGAAATGTGTTAAATCCTGAAAACTGTTTAGTATGCCAAATGTTAAATCTAAATCCTAATAAACTATTTAGTAAAATATTTCAGGATTTATGATTGTTAGTGATTTAAATGTGAAGAATATAATGATAGATTAAAAAATAAATTTATAATTAAAAATAAAAATTAATGTGTTAAAAATTTAATAATATGTTAACTTGTTAAGTACAAATTACTCGTTAATTATTATTTACGTTATTAATTATATATTTAATAATATATATTTTAAGCTATATTAATTAAGATAATTATATTAATATTTAATTACTAATTATACAATTAAGTTAAATTAGATAATAAATTTATGAACTAATTATACAATTAATTATTTAAGTTAATGAATAATACCTTAGAGGCGTCGAGGGTTTTGCCTTTCATCTTGTCTTTTTCGTTGCTGTTGGGCTTCGTTGCTTTGCAGGGTGTAGAGATTGCACGCGTTGCTTCTTCGGCTCTGTTCGACTTCGCTCCTTCGACGACTTTCCCTTGATCGGAAGTTACCACATTTTGATCGGAAGCAAGAAAGGGAGCTCGCTGGCTGTGAAGGTAACTTTCTCCCTTTCGCGCGCTTCTTCGGCTAATTCCTGTTAAATCCGCCGAACCGAGGGATTTAGTAAATCCGGGATTTAAGCCGTAAATCCGTAAATCCGGGATTTACGGAATCCCGGGATTAAAAGCGCGGACAAAAACCGTTTGGCTGGATTTAGCGTCAATCCGACTTAAATCCCACAATAAATCCGATACCAAACAGCCCCTTTAGGAGAAAGTAGAGATTATGATTAGTGTCTGTTATGTTGCTTCATTTGTTTTAATCTATCTCTGCTTTGCCTGCTGATTATTCTCTGCATTGCAGTTCAACTAGATTGTTTCTGTTTCTTTTGTGACATTGCTATAGCTCTAATTGACCTTTGCTCGTTTGCTTGCTCTGTATTTCTGTCTTGCTACACCGCTATCTGGATGTTGTTGCTGTAGTTTGCTGGTTGATTTAGTTGCTTAATTGCTGTAATTTTTCTACTCGTTGCTTTGATATATCTTCAAGCGGCAGCATATCACTCGAATGGAACCTGCTAGAAACAAGAGAACAAACAGCAAACAGTAGGAAGAGTATAATTTCTTCTGTCTATATCAGTCTTTTGTAATATATCTTCTCCTTCTAGCTACCTTACTACCATGAGTAAAAATGGTTAAAGAAAAATGACATAATATATGAGAACGATCCCAACAGAAAAGGGAATAAGGATGGTGACTATGGTAGTGGAGAAGCATAATAGGATAACTTGTGTATGCGGAGCAAGATAGTCCTCATCATGTCTCCCCTTCTTCAAAGGAGCTCACGTCCGGTTAGGTTAATAAAGTCTCGGCGTCATCTGGAGGGTGATACCGATGAATATCGAACACGTTGAAAGTGGATGAAGTATGAATACTAGCCGGTAGATCTATGACATGCATTATCATTTATTTTGTGTAAAATAGGGAAGGGACCGATTTTCCGAGGACTGAGCTTGGCATACATGCCGGTAGGAAATCTCTCACGGCGAACTTGTAGCATTACCAAATCACCTGGATTGAATGTTTTGGTGCGTCGGTGGGCATCAACCAACTGTTTGTACTTAGAATTAGATTCATTTAGCTTGCTGCAGACTTCTTCAATTATATTTTTGAATTGTTATGCAGTTTGTGATGCTGCTGTGCTACGATACTTGGGCAATAAAATAACATCTATTAGATGATTTGGCATAAAATTAAATGCTTCATGGAAGGGACAATGGATTGTAGATCTATTTGGCATAAAATTAAATGCAAATTCAGCTTGGCTTAACATTTCCTCCCATTTCTTAGGATGTTATTGTACCAAACAACATAACATACTGCCCAGAGTATGATTGACTACTTTGGTTTGCCTGTCCATTTGTGGATGATAGGCAAAGCTAAGTTTGAGCTCTGTGTGTAGACGTTTCCACAATTCTTTTCAAAAATAACTGACGAACTTAACCTCTCGACCAGAAGTAATGCTTCATGGAAGCCCATGTAAACGAACAATTTTCTTAAAGAAAAGTCGGGCGACATGAACAACATCAAATGTTTTTTTACATGGCACAAAGTGGGCCATTTTAGAAAATTTGTCCACAACTAGCATAATAGAGTCGACACCAATCTTGGTTCGGGGAAGTCCCAGAACAAAATTGATGCTAAGATCCCCCCACATAGAGTTGGGTAAAGGAAGGGGCATATATAATCCTATGTTTTGGGCAGTAACTTTGTAAGATTGAACACCGAACATCTTTCAATGAATCGAGACACATCTTGGGACAAATGTGGCCAATAAAATCGCATTTGCAGCCGAGTGAGAGTTTTATTACGTCCGACGTGAGCAACTAAGCCTTCACAGTGAGTCTCCTTGGTAAGGTGTTGTCACCAAGACGAGTGGGGAATGCATAAGCAATTTGCCTTGAATAAAAACCCATGCATAGGAGGGCACATCTTGGATGTTATAATCACTGCAAGGTTTGCCGGTCATGCATTGCTCCCAATAGTTGGCAAAGTCCACATCTGTAGCATAAAGAACCTTCATCTCTAACATGCATAGTAGCCTGCCTGCTGAGGGCGTTAGCCACTCGATTAAGCTTTCCTGCTTTTTGATGCAGGACAAAAGTAAACTTCTAAAGAAAAACGATCCAGTGAGCGTGCATTCAACTAATGTTTTCCTGATTATTGATGTATTGGAGGGCCTGATTATCACTGCACAACACAAAGTCTTGATGGAACAAGTAATGCTCCCACTACTTCAATATGTGAACTACTGCATACAATTATTGTTTATAGGTGGACCATTTTTGTCGCGCCGAGCTGAGTTTCTCACTGAAGAACTCAATAGGTTTAGATTCTTGTGACTGGACCTCACCTATCCCAATCGACGATGTGTCAGTGTCTACGTGGAATGGATTGTCGAAGTTTGGTAAAGCCATAATAGGGCCGTGCACAGCTTTTCTTTGACAGTATCAAAACTATTTTGTTGAGCTGAAGTCCACTTAAAATTGTTAGCTTTCAGACAATATGTAGTTTGAGCCACTAAAATGCTAAAAACCCGGATGAACCGCCTGTAAAAGTTTGCTAAGCTGTGAAAACTTTAGACTTCAAATAGAGACTGGGGAGTGGGCCAATCAAGAATGGACTTAACTTTTCTAGGATTCATCTCCACGCCATTGACAGAGAGGATGAAGCCCATGAAATGAACGCTAGAGGCAGCAAATTCACATTTAGGCTGGTTTAGATAAAGTTTATGTTGTCGAAGAGCTTGCAAAATCTCGGTAAGGTGGTTAATATGTTCTAAAAAATTAACACTAAAGACAAGGATATCATAGAAGTAGGCAACACAAGTTTTTCCTAGAAAGGGTGTAGTACCTTATGCATCAGTCTCATAAATGTAGAAGGCGCATTGCAAAACCCAAAGGGCATTATCTTCCATTAGTATAGTTGTCACGTGTCTTGAAGGCTGTTTTCCATTCATCTCCCGAGCGTATGCGAATTTGATGATAACCACTCCTTAAGTCTAGCTAAGAGAAAATGACAGCTTCGGCCAAGCAATCCAACAAATCAGATACCCGAGCAACAGGAAACCTGTACTTCATGGTGATCTTGTTGATGGCCCTGCTATCAACACACATACATCATTGGCCATTCTTTTTGGGAACACTTCGATCTGCCCGTCCATTTGTAGATGATAGGCAAAGTTAAGTTTGAGCTCTGTGTGTAGACGTTTCCACAATTCTTTCCAAAATTACTGACGAATTTAATGTCTCGATCAGAAGTAATGCTTCATGGAAGCCCATGTAAACAAACAATTTTCTTAAAGAAAAGTCCGGCGGCATGAACAACATCAAATGTTTTTTTACATGGCACAAAGTGGGCCATTTTAGAAAATCTGTCCACAACTAGCATAATAGAGTCGACGCCAATCTTGGTTCGGGGAAGTCCTAGAACAAAATTGATGCTAAGATCCCCCCCAAATAGAGTCGGGGAAAGGAAGGGGCATATATAATCCTGTGTTTTGAGCAGTAACTTTGTAAGATTGAACACCGAACATCTTTCAATGAATCTGGCCAATAAAATTGCATTTGCAGATGAGTGAGAGTTTTATTACGTCCGACGTGAGCAACTAAGCCTCCACAGTGAGTC